CTCATCTGTGTCCTTAGTTCTCTCAACTAGTAAGTGATGGCTGTACTTTGTTTAATATTTAGTTGTGTGAGCATCCTTCTAACACATTCTTGAGAGTCACAAAACCTCTTAAACTACAAGGTCTATAAACTACATACATATTTTATGTCTTTTGTATGAGGACTCTCAACTGCATGTGGATCTCAGGCTTATAAACAGGAATATTTGTTTTGAACCGTTCTACCATATGAACACTGTGACTTAGGTATTGATGGTCTGTGCCTCTTTGCATGCTAGCTGCTAAGTTTAGACCCAAACTTACGGCTTACCCCAGCTAATTATGGATTAATGCTTTGCTGTAACCTCAGGTTTTAATATCAGCAAGTGAGCTTTGGTCAGTGCTAAGTAAGAATGTCTACCAAATTTTACTGGCATGTGTCCTAATGCATTTCTACTTTCAAGCAGAAGATATTAAAAGAAGTTTTAAAAATTGATAGAAAAGCTATTATATAAACCAAATTAGATAAATCAAACTTCTTGTATTACTCCTTTTTTCTTTCAAAGAATTTACAATTTGTAGCTTAAACTTTAAATATGTTTTGAATAAAGATGTCAAAGGACAGGGGTGCCTGGGTGGCTCAGTCATTAAGTGTCTGCTTTCAGCTCGGGTCATGAATCCAGGGTTCTGGGATTGAGCCCCGCATCGAGCCCCTGCTCAGCAGGAAACCTGCTTCTCCCTCTCCCACTCCCTCTGCTTGTGTTCCCTCTCTCGCTGTGTCTCTCTCTGTCAAATAAATAAATAAAATCTTTAAAAATAAAAAAAGATGTCAGAGGACAAATTCAGTTAACAGTATAATTGAGTAGATGAATTCACCACTCAAATTACATATGGAGTCATATAATTGTAAAATAAACCTGAATAGATAAAAGAAATAATAAAACCTGAATAAAATTGACTCTTGGTATATAACAATACACAGGAATCAGCCTAAGTCAAAACCCAAGACTTTCATAACAATAGTAAAATGGAAATTTTACTGTAACATGCAATCTGAGAAATAGCTGTCAAATTTCCAACAATAAAGGAAAGCTTAGACAAACTACCAATTTAATGTTAAAATGTTAATGTTCATTAAAGTTTTAAAATCCTGAACTGAACATTCAAAACGTAGATGCATATCAGAATCATAAGCCCATTGGTCAAGGTTAAAAAATTAAACAAAACAAAAAACCAAGAGACCCAACCTCAGGATTATTCAGTATTCAATGATGCTACTTCGTCTTGGTACTCACAGAAAACTGTGAATTTTATGTATAACCCAAGTCAGAGTACTTTTGATTTTTAAATATTCGATGACTTTGGGATACCAGATTAACTCCTAACTGAATTAAATACAACTTTAGATGTGAATATCCACCTTTATAACATTGACTAAAAATTATATAATATTTTGGGAAGTAAACCAATTTTTTTTACATATATGAAAATACTAATGCCATTCTGTAGTCTGTATGCATATAAAATACTTTAAAATCTTTATTAAGTAATTTCTTATATACATTTTGGTTTTTCCACATTATTAAGATAGGGAGACCCACAGGAAACTAACATTCTCTGAATATCTAAATCCTGAGCATTCTTCATTTAATATTTCATTTAAATGAATACTTCATTAAATGAATACTTCATTTAAAAAGAATATTTCATTTATTTTTTATTTTATTTTTTTTTTAAAAGATTTTATTTATTTATTTGAGAGAGAGAGAGAATGAGAGAGAGACAGCACGAGAGGGAAGAGGATCAGAGAGAGAAGCAGACTCCCTGCTGAGCAAGGAGCCTGACGTGGGACTCGATCCCGGGACTCCACGATCATGACCTGAGCTGAAGGCAGTCGCTTAACCAACTGAGCCACCCAGGCGCCCAGAATATTTCATTTAAAAAATACTTAATGAAGTTTTTTAACACCTTTTTATGATCTACCGACCATAACAACTGGATATTGGTATACAGCAACATTACAGAGCTTAGCCTAAGCTAAAACCCATAGCATCTTTAAAATAGGGTAAAGGAAAAAATAAAAATAATAAAATAATAAAATATGGTAAAAGAAAGAAAAGAAAAATTAACAAAAAAAGACTACAACATTATATAAAGATTGTAAAAACAAATGCCACATGACTGGACCACAGATACTCACTTCATTGACTTTGATCGGAGTTTCATATTTAGTGAAAAGCATTTACAAATAGGGTAGGGGGCTCACAGGTGCTGTAAGGCACCCAGAACAATGGCACAGACACAGCAGAGATTCAATAAAAGAATTTTGATTTCTGTTGCTATGTTGATTATCTTTGTTGTGCATTTATCAACCTAGTATAAATCAGCTAGTAGGTAGCGTGGCATCGACCAGTAAAATTTCTGAGGCCCTATCTAAGCTTAATGTTCTCTGAAGTCCTCCATAACTTATTGCATGTTCCAACTAACATTTAGCATACGCAACAACCTTACATTGCTAATCGCCTTTTGATGTTTATGGGCTTTCACATAAACGGGCCTTTGTGTCTTCTATACCCACAGCTATATTATCTAACCTAATTTCATAGTTAACAACTGTTTGTTTTAAGTCTGAAGTTTCATAAGATTAGGTCTTATCAACTATGTTCTGGCCCAAGAACTACATGCTTTTGCTTAAACTCTGCTGATTCGCCACTGCTTACAGAATAATGGCCAAATTCCTTTGTATGGAATTCAAAGCCCCATGCTCTGGCACCATAGTAAGCCTTCTACCCTCAACCTGCATTCTGGCCACTACCACAGAGAATTTGCCAAAGTCACTATATACTTTTATGTCTCGAGACATTTACTGATCTGGTTCTTTCTGCAATTCCAGATGGCACACACTGGTTCATTCTGCAAAGCTAGCTTCATTAACTTTTCTGTGAGGCTTTCCCAGAACCCATCGCCACTCCCACCACCACCAACCCAAACCCTCGTGGGGGACAAATCCTTCTCTCCACTTGGCAGTCACTCTTATTAAAACATGTTTCTCCTTTAATAAAAGGAGATTATTATTTGTCTGCCTTCTCTTTTGTTTAACTATCTAAGATTCTATTATTATTATTATTATTGTTATTATTATTATTCTACTTCTCCTTTGTGAAACTTTCTAAGCCCCCTCTACCTAGAGTTAAGCACTGCCATTTATTGCCCAACCTTGTCTCTGGTATGTAATTCTACTCTGGCACATAACACAGCACCCTGGAATTATCGTTCTTAATAATCACCTACCCTATTAGACCCTGTGTACTCCATGAGGAAATCATGTTATTCATCATTGTATCCCCAGGGCCTAGCTAGTACTTGACACACAGTAGGTGTTCAATAGATGTTATTAAATTAATAAACAAAATACGATTGCTTTCTGCCAAATCAGAATAACCTGGTACTGAGTATGCCTCTTAGCATCCCAGCAGAATCCTTACTCTCTGGCAAAGAAACACCAGCAAACAAAAGAGGACACCAGCAAACTAGGGTGACCTAAGGAACTGAAGGTGCTGCTTGCAGGGCAGGCAGGCTTCCAGCAAGGGCAAAGACAGGCCCTTGAAAAACTGGACAATTTCCTCATGTTAACTTCGGGAGGCTTATTTTACATCACCAAGCCTGGTGCTATAAGGAATCCTTTGCTAACACCTGCTAACACTCTAACACTCAGCTCTACAATGATCATCACCTCTATAAAGAAGACATCCCAGGGTCCATTTTCACATAGGCATTTCCTTAGAGAACGACTGACTGGGACTATAGCAGCTACATGTACTCTGATCAGTTAACTGCATGAAAAGATTTTATACATACAACTTCTAACAAAAAGAACACAAACCAGAATTAATGTGGCATGATGTTTAAAAATGCCTGCATTCTAACACACCTAATCTGTACCACAAGAAAATATGCATCTGTACACATGTATATTCCAGCACAATCTTTTCCTTTTGGTTTTAATTTCTGGGTGGCATGACTCAGCAACAGCAAAAGGAAGGGTTTATGATAACAGAGTCTATTATAAATATGAAAAAAGACGCTGGAAGACTCATGGAGTACAATTAATTCAGCAAATACTTATTCAAATGCCAGGAGATACAGAAGTTGTAATGATGTGTCACATAACATCACCTCTCTCAGGAAACTTACAGTCTAAAATAAAGCTTTTCACTACTGTATGCACACAGAACCGAACAAACAGAAGGAGATCGATGAATGTGTCTTAAAAAGAAAAATGTTAGTAACTAGTAACTATTACTAACTGTTGGTTCTGTTTTCTACAAAAACAATAATTTTCACAGATTTAAGCACTATTTCTACTGACCACCTGGAGGTAAAAAAAATTTTTAACAAAATGTACACAAGCTATAAACATTTTAAGAACCAAAAACTATTTTCAAGGGAAAATAAACACTACTACATTCAAAAAACCTTCATTTCCTAACAATGAAATGCTATATACGTCTAAAATCATTGGTTACGTTCAACATATGCAACATTATTTATGTCAGTCCTAACTGCTCTTGGCCAGTTTTCTCATAGGGAAAACACTACACTAGTAGGACAAAATGAAAAATGCTACCTTTATAGTAAAAATAAAATTTACCAGTGAAAATGTGGTAGAAAGGTTCCCCTGGCTGAAAAATATACCTTCTCTCCTAAGTCAGAAAGAAGCTTCCTAAACTCTTCCTTTTGTAATGTAAATGCTAATTTGAGTGATGAATATAAGAACACACACATACTCAACAGATGTTATCTCTTACTCATTTTTTTAAGTTTTGAGAAAATCTCATCAGGACCTAATTTCAAATGGTTCTATTATATTTGTGTTTTTGACTATGAGCAGCCTAAATTGTTTTCAGAAAGTAAGCAGATATTGATTCAGAACTGGTTTTCTAACTGGGCAAGACTACTAATTCATCCTGTTAAAAAATTTTTCAAAATTATTTATTTTGCATGCTGTGGAAGGCTTCTTTACCTGCAGATGGCTGGGAAACATTCTTGAAGACCTTTCTTTTTAACTAAAGATCCTTCAAGGCAGTACATAATGATGTCCATAACCTTTATAGAAAAGATGCAAATCCAAAATTAATTTCAAATACTTAACTTTCCAAAATTCAAATTATTAACTTAGGCCTCAGCTGCATGAAAATTCTAGATAGTTTGACTGCAATATTTACTTTTATTTATTTATTTTTTAAAATATTTTATTTATTTATGTGACAGAGAGACACAGCGAGAGAGGGAACACAAGCAGGGGGAGTGGGAGAGGGAGAAGCAGGCTTCCCGCTGAGCAGAGAGCCCGATGCGGGGCTCGATCCCAGGACTCTGGTACCATGACCTGAGCCGAAGGCAGACGCTTAACGACTGAGCCACCCAGGCGCCCCTGCAATATTTACTTTAAAACTATAGTATATTTACTAAAGCTACACTATAGTTACTTTATACTACAGGATATCCTTTTCCTTATTTGTGAAAAACAGAAGAGCAGTAAAATAAAGAAATGAGAGACTTGTTGACTTCAAAAGCAATTCATATTTATGAACAATATAGGTAGCTTTTATTCAAGCACACTACATCCTTTGTTTTACTTATAATGAAAGACATTAAAGAGAACATACCCTTTAACAATTATTCCAATACAGAACACTTCCCTATGAATGGTTAAGTGTACACAGCAATCATTTTGATCTTTAACGAATTTAAATAAGACCCTAGAAATGGTACAAAAGTTAATTCATTTAATTATCTCTCTCTCTTTCCTGTAGATAATTCTTTTAATTTTCTTTCTTTTATTTCTTTGGAAATTAAAATGCTGATTCGTATTACTACACGGACATATTTAATTTAGATTGTTGCTGTAATATTTAATAGCAGGATATTCTTACCTCCACAAGAAGATCCACAACATCTGTGGGCATTTTTTCAATAAGAATCTCAATGACTCTCAGAATTTCCCCTTTAGCTCGTGCAAGAGTTGTCGTGTGCATGTTCTGTTGGGACTGGGTATTTGCTGCAAGAGCTGTATGTCTGTGTACCTGTGAAGACATTCCCATGCTGTAGATACGGCTGATACTCGATTCAGTTTTGCATTTCTAGCCACTGGTTTATTTTTCACTTGTTAACACAAGAGGGGAAAAAATAAGAATCAACAAAACAAATCTCTTGGGGTGGGTCAGATCTTTTGATTGCAAAAGAAGGCATTTAGTACAATAAAAACTTAGTAAGTATTCTCTAATAAAATTCTCTAAGTTCCTGAGTATTATATGAGACTTTAACACAACACTACAGTGACATTTTTCAAAAGACAGACTGAAGGTTTGTGAATTTGGTCTATTTGGTGCTGAGGTGGACAGCGGTTAGGAGATACCCAAGCAAGTAAGAGGCATGAGACTTGCTCTCAGGTAGTAATAGTAAATGATGCTTATAGAAGACTTCCTGTGTCCCAGGCACTATTCTTGGTACTGTATAATGAAGGTGTATCATGTGAATGAACGTGCCTCCAAAAATAATAAGCATTGTAAAGAATATAAGTTCACTGTGATTTTTCTTCCCCATACAAACTGTAAGTCTTAATCATTCAGAGGAGAAAGAACACTGATAGGAGCTGGGCCAGCCATGGAGGAGTGGGCATGACAGGGGAGGGGATGGTAATAACAGTGAGAAATACTTCAGGATCTTACTCTAAAACTCTAAGTGAAGTGGAAAACTTATTTTTACAAGGTAGTAAATGTGAACTATTACACTGAAATATTAGAACACTAACAATGTAGGAATCAACTGGTAATTAGTAGAACATTGACATTAAAATATTTTATTTTTTTAAAGATTTTATTTATTTATTTGAGAGAGAGAGTGAGAGAGAGTGAGAGAGAGAGAGAGAGAGCACATGAGAGGGGGGAGGGTCAGAGGGAGAAGCAGACTCCCTGCTGAGCAGGGAGCCCGATGCGGGACTCGATCCCGGGACTCCAGGATCATGACCTGAGCTGAAGGCAGTTGCTTAACCAACTGAGCCACCCAGGCGCCCCGACATTAAAATATTTTAAAAATACCTTTCTAACCTAAAGGTGGAGTAGAATAAATCCAAAGCATGGCTATTCTAACAGTTCATTTAAAAATATTCATATGTAAATGGCGAAAATTAAGTTCAAAAACACAATTAACACAAATACTTGCTTACTCTTTAAAGAGGCAGTTTTATGGCTGGCATTTATAGGACCTGTATATGTGGTCAGGTGTATGTAAGGTTTATTCAATATACTCGATATTACTATCAATGCATATTCAACTGATAAGAAATTCCATGGCTAATAAATTTGTTCATTTATATATATATTTCTGTTATGTAATAAATCTGTTCATTTATATATATACTCTTCATATAAATATATGATATCTATAAATTATAGATACATAACATACATATACATATTTTAAATACACTGTAACCTCACTGTAACGCTAGGCACTATCAGAAAAACACATCCCCTTACTCTACAGATTTATTTTAGGTATGAATTCAAAGTCCCACCACCTCATATTAACCCATACAATCTGCTATTAAAACCTTCCTTCCTCCCTTCTAACTACCTTCACGTCACAAATATTTGCTGCATGCCTATTAAGGATGGCTCTGGGGCAGACATGGGCCCAGTAGGTTTCAGGTTATCAGGGCAGACTCAGAGGTATTTATTTAGTATTTTAAAAATTCATCATAGCTACAGGAAAAACAACTCAGAGCTCATACCCCATGGACACCAAGTCTGCACATTATTCATGCTGAAACAGAACAAACCTTTAAAAAAAAATGTAGGAGCTTATTATCCTTCCCTTTCTCTCCCACTACTAAGACCTATAGGAAAGATCCTATAATTGGTTCATTGTTCTTTACTAGTTTTTCAGTTAGATGTGGGCAATTAGTTAGAACACTAAGAACGTGGGAATCAATTGGCATTCAAGTCTTTATCTGTGACATGCAATAGGAAAAACAATTAGCAAGTTTATGACTTACATTTTTGTTTACAGTTGAAGAGCCAGTGTTAAATAAGTTCAGTGTTGATTACAGGCAGATATTCACATTTATAAAATGTATCTTTAGTATATTTTAATTTGAATAAGCCTGCTATATTTCAGATTGGAAAATTAATTTCAAATATTCGCAAATGAGTTAACTTTGAGAACAGAAATGAATACAAAAGCACAAGTCATGAATGCATTGCTGTGGAATTCAGGGTACATGCACACAGGTACATATGTATTTATTTCAGCACTAAATTATTAACTTGCATTGTTCTAGAGCAAACTGGAAGGATTATTTGTGAATATGGACCCTCAGCTCACAATCTCTAATAATTCCTCTAAATGAGAAAATGGAGCACACAGAGAGGTTCTGCTCACCTCTTTGGCTATGGTTGTGATGAAGGCGGGTGGTCTGGCAGTGGCAATGAGCGAGAGGGCATGCCTTGCCGAGCGGGCGGAGTCAGCTGCAGGGCTAAGAGGCAGCCCCATTGTGATGCTAAACAGGGATCAGAAAAAAAGGAAAAAAGAAAAGAAGCATTAGAAATATAGACTGAAAAGATTAGACACAGCTTATAATGTCAGTTCAAGGTCAATGGGAGCACTCAAACAGTTAGAATATAATGGACTTGCAACAATGAGCAGTGATTAGGAGTCAGGGTGTTCTGGCATCAAATACAAAATCGAATAATTAACCGTGAAGATTGAAAACAGTATGTGCATCTGTCCAAAGTGTTAAAAACGCCTTGTTAACAAATTATCAAGAACTAGTGCTGAATGCATATCACAAAGCTCAGAATCTGGCAAGAAAGAAGACTGTGCTGGGTATTTTCAAATTTTTTGCTAAAAACAAATTAAAGGTAATAATTTGCTTATAAGGCCACAGAAAAAGGGCTTCGTTTAAGGACGTGTATCTGAAAGGAAGAAAAATTCACTTCTGTCCATATAATTATCCAAAGAACTGAAAAAACTGCAAAATTATTTTTAGTTTTTAATATTATTTTTAGTTTAAAATATTCTCATACTGTTAATTTACCCCATGCTCAATACTTTTAGAACCAATCTACTAGTCAGCATGTTCTGCCAATAGTTTTTTTGTATTGATGCAAAAATTGTATTAATGGATACATAAAGATCATAGGCATGACATTGTCCAGGCAATATATAAGAATATGTACATGATGAAATAAATCTTTCCAAACTGTGGGAATATCCTGATAGAATAGTGATGTTATATTCCTTTGCCACCCCAAAACATAAAAGTGATAATATTCTTCTGTTTGTAAGCTTCCTGTATATTTTATATAGACTACTGTGAAAAGTAGTAAGACTTCATTAAAATGTGGCATGTGATCCACATGTCAACTGTATACAAGGAGCATTTTGCTATTCAGTAAGAGATCCATTATAGTTTCTCTCTAATGTTGATACGTGAAAGTACATAATTTTGATACTTAAATAGCCATATGAAATTATATTAAGATTTGTCCTGCTCTAATTAGTCTGTATGCTTCATGTGTAAACTGGTTTATGTTTACTAAAAATTCTCAAAATGTTTACAAATATTTCTATGATTAGTCCAAGAATCATTATTTTAACTTTTAGATGAAAATAAGTATGCATTACATAGGCATTCTTATCATTGTTAAAAGAAGGTAAATTGGTTATACAAAATTCTGCTTATAATTTCTTGGTGACTACTACATTGCTTAAATCTTTGACTGATAATATAACTGTCTCCAGTCCTTTTTCCAAACTGAGGGTAGATACAAAGCAGGTACTCAGAGAGGAGGATGGAGGTGTTCCTTTGATGTTTACCACTAAAAAGAAAGATGTGAGCCGACAGAACACACCCATATTGAACAAGAAACAGAAAGAATGCATGGGTGGACATGTCACCTCCACAGAAGATCTTGATGCCCTAGGCACCCAGTAGGGGCTGGAAAGACATGTTCAGCAGTAAAGCAAGGTGGGGTAGTTAACCAGGTTCTTTTCCGGATTAAACTTTACTATTGAGAATTCCGCAAAGGAAATGCTATGTGAGTAGTGCTAACCTAGATTGCTCAAGAATTGTTATAAAGTTTTGATCGTATTTTAAGTTTTAAAAAATTCAAAAGCTAATTACACTTTTGAGATATTCTATGATGTTTCTCAAATCAGTATGAAAAGGTGTTGATAATACTGAAAGGCTGAAACAAAAATGGTATGTTAGGGATGCCTGGGTGGCTCAGTCAGTGAAGCGTCTGCCTTTGGCTCAAGTCGTGGTCCCAGGGGCCTGGGATCAAGCCTGGCGTTGGGCTCCCTGCTCAGCGGGGAGTCTGCTTCTCCCTCTCCTCCCCACTCCTGCTCTCTCTAGCTATCTCTCTCTCTCTGTCAAATAAATAAAATCTTAAAAAAAAAAAAGGTATGTTAACTAAACAATTCTGAGCAAACCTAAATCAAATTTCCTAAGATCAATAAAATCACAGAATGCTGGGAGCTGGAAAAGATCCCCAGGCAGCCTCCCTGCCCAGCAGTCAGCCATGGAGCAGGAATGTCTACCTCCTGAACAGCCCGACCTATGTCTGGAAGGCATGACAGAGAGGAGAAAGAACAGGATGTGGAACCCAGGGTCTAGGTTTGAAATCAAGCTTTCCTGTGCTGTTTTACATCTTCTTGCACCTGCCCAGAACATCCCTTAGAGGGGGGGTTGTATTGGCATTTTATGGAGAAATCAGGTCCATAGTGAGGAGCCAAGGTAGTAGTCTGATGTCTTCTTGGACAGCTGAACTTTGGAGAAAATAATGGGGAGGGAGGCTTGCCCATATTGTGGTTAACTGGATTAATGAACTGGTAACATGACTAAACTCAGTGACTTTGGATGAATGGCTAGATTGCATCCCTGAGTGAGGTTTCTTGAGTGGTATGTTGTAACATGTAGACTTCAGCTCTGTCCTTTTTGATGTCAGTTGTGATTAAATGAAGACATGGATGCAGAGTTATCAACTGGTGTGGATATAAAGTTATAAAAGCAACTGTACTAAATGGGAGAACTGGAATTCAAAAAGTCCTCAGAAAGATCAAATTGGGTTCAAGAAAGAAGTCTTACGTGTGGGTACAAAGGACCAACTTTACAGGAATGGGATAGGCACTACACTGCTTGACCAAGCTTAGGGAACAGCACCGAGGGTTGTATCTGAACCACAGCTATGGATGTTAATGATGTGGCTGCCCTAAAGGGCTAGGTCATATCAAGGGAAACAGAGTGAAAGAGAACATGTTGCCCCTGCTGAACTTCATGGTTCTGGCTGCCTGTTCGCCCTCCCTGTGGCTGTACTGCCTCTGAGCTGCTAAGAGATGGGATCTGCCTTCTGCAGGCCAAGTGTAAGAGCATCCTCCTGGAGTCCAGAAGAGTCCCATCCAATTCCTGCTGTGTGCTGTTGTGAGCACTTGCAATTGGAAACCAGAGTTCTACTCACACAAACAGGATCCTACCAACCTCACCACCCACCTCTCTTCTAGCCCTTCTCTGTTCTTTCAGGAGGAGAAAAGTTTAGTGGGAAGCCAAGGCTGGGGGCCGGGGGGAGGGCGGGAGGGGAGCAACAGGAAGAATGAGAATGAATGACTATGCATATATGTGTTCACCTGAGGATGACAAATGGATACTGTCCCCCATCCTTATGTGCCCTGTGGCCACCCTGCATTGAGTAAGCACGATGTGTGGAAAATGGGTCTATTAAAGTAACAACTTCACAAAGTTGTCGAGACGATTAAATGAGCAGGCAAATGTAAAAACCTCCAGCCCTGCATCTCACCTATATTATACATACAATAGATGCTTCTTCTGACCCAAGATGACTCTCACAAATAGAAATAAAGTGAAAAGAAAATGAGATCAACTAACAGCAGGTCACTGGTTTCAAAGTTAAAGGCCCAGTCACACATCACCCTTAATCCATCTCAGCAAATGATCTTGTGAATTTGGGTAAATCGGCAAACTTCTTAATGGTAAGAAAAATGGTAAAGTTTGGTGTCCAGAAGAGAAGCTGTAGGGTAATAGGTAAGGAAGCTAACCAAAGACATATAAAAGTATTGCTCATGAATTCAGTGGAAGCTGGAACATCCAAAAATGTGTAGAGGCGTCAAAGGGTACGTTTGAGTGACTCCCATGATCAGCGTCCGATGGCTGGAGTGCAGGACTTCAGAATGTGGACACATCTATTGTTCTGAGGTCAGGGTTCTGCACAACCAGAGTGCACAGGCAGGAGGGTTGGGCATGTGAGAACAGAGAAGAGCTGCCAAGGCACAGGGGAAGAAGACAAACCTTCTCTCCCCTCTGTCTATTTAATGCATCACTGCCAGGGTCATCTTTCAAAAGCACTAACTTTATTTCATGGTTAACCTGCTTAAAAACCTCAGTGGGTCCCAGGGCTTCTAAGAAAAATCTTGAACTCCTTGGCTTGAGGTTCTAGTCCCTCCATAATCTAGTTTCACTAACTTGTAACTCAGTCTTTTCAATACCATGCTCCTGAGGCCAGGCTAATTGTAAGGTTGGTCCCTAAAATGCCATTCCTTTTTTGACTGTAGTTTGTGGCTTACGCTTCTCCACTACCCATCCCCCCATTAGCACACTCTCCTCCCTCCCCTCTGTTCGATTCTTGTGGAAGCCTACGTGTTACTCTGCAATTGCTAGAGCATTCAATTACAATCTACTGAAACGAAAACAACCAACAACAAAACCCATTTATTCTAGGCTCTTAGCACTAAATCTGATTCTGCCAGGCATTATGACTTAGTTTGCACTGTGAACTCTGCGCAGATTGGTACCATGCCTTCTAATCCTGTGATCCCCCCAAAGTGCCTAGTTCAGCCCTTGGACATAGTGGTAGCTCAATAGTTATGCGCTAAATGAAGTTACCTGGCAAATCCAGCAGGAAAAAAAAAATCACTTAAGCCCGTTATTTGACTGAACTGACCAAGCAATGAAGTCAAAGTAATTGATCTAGTAGTCCCAACAGACAGTCTAATTCTACATGTAGTTATCTTGAAAGTCAAAGGTACACTGTGTATGTGATATATTTTAATGTGGGATTCTAACTGAATGAAGAAGGATCATACTATCAGAGGTGTGAAAATAAAGGGGTACCTGCCTTATTCTGGAATCTGTATGTAAACACAGAACCCACTCTTTTCAGCTGATCCTGCTTATCTGGCTGTTACGCAGATCATTTGTTATATAGGTTTATAAGATGGGTCTTTACTTTAAAAAATGTGATATGACATACTCTCTATTTTACTCAGCATTTTAGTACACACATCGCGTATGAAATATCAGAGATGATAGAAACTGTAAATAAAAATCATGAATAGAAAAATAGTCCACTCAGGCTGAGCTCATTCCTTACATGACTGCTCATTAATCCTGTTCTAACCATTACTCCATTGTGGTAAAAGCATTTTAAAAGTCACATGTACGACCGCTACAGTTAAATGTCACCATCTACAACTGTCAGACTCCCC